ATTTTGATCTCTCAAAAAGCATCAATATCTGCCTTGATACTATTGATCTCTCCTAGAGTATCAATTATCTTTTTCCCTTCTTAATTGATCTCACCTAGGGTATCAATATCATTTTGCTTGTTGATTGATCTCACCTAGAGTATTAATATAGGCTTCATTGCTGATTGATCTCAATATCGACGGATCTTCCCCCAGAGTACGTATATCAATTCAATTGTTGATTAATCTCCCATCGGAGTATCAATATCGACAGATATCCCACTGGAATCTGTTTCATATGCTTGATCTCCCACCGGAGTATCGTTATGGAAGCCATTGTATGAACCGGAGTATCGTTATGGAAGCCATTGTATGAACCGGAGTATCGTAATCGAGGCCATTGGATGCTTGATCTATCTCTCATCTGAGTATATCGAGGCCTTTGTATACTTGATCTCCCGCCGGAGCATCAATCTCCATGGATTTCTCACAGTATCGCTATCGTGTCCATTGTGATTGGTTGACATTGTGCTTGAACGGCCCATGAGGTCACAGTTATCCTAGATCTGGCCAAAAGATCGCTATCATCTTTGGATGGCCCATGAGATACTCCATATCCCTAAATCGTACAAGAACTCATCATTAGTCCCTTAACCTATATCCGGCTACATCTGACTCACGGAAGCCCCATTAGTTTTTGCATAGCTCACGTGATTTGAGAGCCTAAAGTTCTTATATCTATTATGTCTTAATTAGCCAGGTATGGTTTCTATTTTCCCAATTTCCAAATTAGCCAATGACCCATAAACCAATCTCCATGTTTTCTTATCAATTGTCCCAATAATGTTTATTTCACTAAGAGTAATTAATTTCCATCAATCGCAATATTTTCATAAGTAATCGATTATACCATATTTTCATATGCATCCAAATTCCAAACGATTGCTAAATTATTATTAACAGATTTCTAAATATTCACATTTCGCAAAATTATTTATATCATCACAAATATCCATAACATAGGATTATTCCCCCAAATTTAAACAAATCATTTAATAATCCATTCTCATTTTTAATAATTGTATTTTGAATATACTTTATTCTTCTGCAATTTTATTCAATATAATCAGCATGAATATCTTTATTTTTACCAAAATGATTTTATTATTTTCTATCTTTTACAAATTCATTTATTAACCAGTTTTTCTTTGTGAGCATTATAATAATTCATTCAATATCAGAACTAGTAATATACTTTTCAAATTAAGTTTATCATCAACCATAATTTTATCATATTTTGCAAATTCTCAATAATTTATTCATTGACAGTTATTTTCATATTGCTCAAAGAAATATCACATTTACAAAATAGTTCATATTTACCATGACATTTTTCAATCATTCCCCATAATTTATTTGATAAAACATCCAATAGATCCATATTACAGGTTCTTTGTCGCATCGTCACCAATATAATAAATGGGTAATTTCACATATCAGATAACATAGGAGAATAATTAATTCATTCATTTATTAAACATGTACATTCATATCAATAAAACCATACTATAAATCGGATATGCATAATATAATTGATTATCGGTGATAGGTAGTTAACCATACAACAGTGGCGTCGCTAGGGAGAGACGCAGGGGCTCGAGCCCCCTGAAAAATTTGAATAACCCCCTGAAGCAAATTTTTTTTTTTAATGGCTACTTAATATCCCCTTGAACTAAAAATAAATTTTTTTGATTGCCCACTAATGATTTCTTTTATAATTCTATTGAGTAATATATAAATTTTATTTTATAATTTAAAAATTAATAAGTCTATCTAAATTATTCTTAAATGAATACTATTTTAATTATTAGATTAGATTAATACTTATAAATTATATTTTCCCTATGACAGCTTGCAATCAAATTCTGTGTTAAAAATAGAATATTAATATCACTCACTAAATATTAATTTAGCATTAACATTTGAAGCTTTATTGACTTTTATTATTTAAATTATTATATAACCTTAATTAAATAAATATTAATTGAAAATTAACAAATTTAATATTGTAATTAGCCGAGTTCAAAATCACTAATCAACTATATTATTGATAATTACCATGCCTCTTCTTAAAATTATTTTTAAGGTCCAAATCCAAATAAGTATAAGAGATTTGTTTATAAAAAGTAAGTAAACATATAGTTAATAATCCTCTATTATATATAATTGATTATAAAATATTAGGTTAAATACCAATTTTACAGACGTATTTGACAGTTATATAATATATTACAGTTAATATTTTAATAAATTTTACTAATAAATGCTTTTGATAATAAATATAAGTAGTAAATTGCTTATAAATATATAACGCCATCTTATTTATAAATTTTTTTAAAATTTAACATCTTATTATTTATCCCAGAATGGATGTAATAAATTAAATATTTTTTCTCTTTTTTACCTGTTTTTAGGAAAGCTATTTTTTTCTTATTTGAAAAACAGTTTTGAGTTAAATTTTTAATACTAGTATATTTTTGATATTATTACAAACTACTACTAGTTTAAGATATAATATACCAACTAGAGGTGGTGCTACAATAATATATAAAATCTTAATTAATTTCTTTTATCATATCATATCGCTCTGGTTCTTATTTTATAGTTACAAAATGTTTCATTTCTAATATCGCATCCCTGCCTTGTAAATAACTTAAGGCTTCAATACATTTGCATAATTTCTTATAAAGATTTTTAGTGTTTTTGTTTTATCATTATATCTAGCATAATAAATTCTGATATAAGTTAATATAGTGAGTGTCATGGCTATGACTGCAAATTAACCAGCATCTATTATTTGTGTGGCTATGTAATTTAAGATTATTATTACAGCTGCTGAGAGCATATTTTATAAGCACTAATGGTCAACTGTGTAGTTGTTTATATATCATTAAAAATGGAAGATAATCTTTTAGAAATTTAATAACTCACAATTTTTTTCTCAATCACTTATCTAGCTTCCATCATGTCATTTAAGAGGAAGCTCTAACCACCATATAGTTTTATGATTTGGATTAATCGTTTGTATTCTATTCTCCAAGAATTGTTGATTTGGTTAGGCCTATACATTTTTCCTTATTAGTCCATTCAATATAACATTGTCTAAAAATGGAAACAGAGTTTTATATTAGTTTCTTGACCTTTTGTCAATGTAAGTTGCTGATTTTATAATATGTAGTTTTTAAAAACCATTATCAATTGAGGCATATGTATGAATTAATTAACCTTATTTATCACTTGTAATTCTTAAGACACCAAATTATTTTATATCAGCAATCGAAAATATTTTATACTGTAATAAATAGATTTTGTATTAAAAATAATATTTTTAAAAATGTCTTATATTGTTTTAATTATTTATATGCTAGTACAATATAATAAATGACAAAATATGAAATTCAGAATAATTATTCAGAGTTAGCAAATTTTTAAAATTAATAATATATTAATATAAAAAAATGGGGGATATGGGGGGTTTCGCCCACCCCCCATATAATTTTTTTTAGTTGAGCCTCCTGAGATGTAAAGGCTAGCGACGCCCCTGCCATACAAATTATTATATAAAAAATATATAAATATAATCATTATAAAACATATAATAAATTGTAAATATTAATTATTACCCGGATTTCATTTTTTCTTTGAAAATAATACTTGGGCGGGATTATCCATATATTTGTTCGTTTAACCATGTTCGTAAAATAACAGCTATTGGTTATGGCCCATGAGCAAGAAAAAAGATAGTATATATTTTGCTAATAGGCTTGCGACCATCATCTCCTATTAATCAGCATAATAAAATCCCTCACATTGTAAGCAGTCTAATATAGGATTTGTTACTATTCGATTATTTAAAGAATATATTTGATCAGACACATAGCACCCTAAAATAAAAGATACTAGAGTTGTTTTTGATCTATACCAAGCTTCTATAAAAAATAATGAGGATTTAATTGAGATCCTATCAAAAAATTACAATTTAATTAAGCCTAAGATAAACGAATTAGAAATATCTGCATAATGTTATTTAAAAACACTTTTAGACGCTTAACAAACTTGATTTTGACTAAGGCCTATCAAGGGAGTGGAATTTACTAGTTTTTAAATCTGCAAGTTTTCAAATATCTTTTTAAGCAAATTCACAGCCACCAGTTAGAATATTTTGAAAACTTATTTTACTATTGATCTAAATTAAAGTGTCCAACAATTAATAGCACCGTCCAATTTTATAAAAAAACTGCCTATATAATATGTTCTTATAAATTTTTAGTAAAAACCGTGATAGCTTATGCGATGATCTATGTCCATGGCTAAACATTAGCATGGCTATGGATTTTGTAATTTAAGCAATGCAGTGTATTTTGCAACCAGCAATTAGATTTATAATGTAATTGTATTGAAAGGGAATAACAAAATGAAAATATATTGATAAGAGATTCACATGTATATTTAATTATATTTGATCATGTCAACACTGCTAAATCTGACAGGCAGTGATCGTTGACTGCTTTACTTCTTTTTTTTAGGTAGATATAATGTATTCAAAAATGGCTCAAGCTTATAATATCGTCTGCTGCAACTCGTGCAAAATGTTTCAATCTATATTGCTAAATAAAATTAAGAAATGGCAATGCAAAATATGCGGATCTAAACAAACAATAATGACTATTTATAAAACTGATAGTGCCCAAAATTGCAGGGATATTGTGCAGAGAATGAATTTAAAACAAGGACTTAAAAATGAAGAGCAGAATACTTTTCAAGAATCAAAGCTTCACAATTTAAATGATTATTCTGATAAGAATCAAAATTGGGAAAAATATTTGTAATGTTGTATATAAATTATATTTGAATATAATAAAATAATATTTTGCTTAAGATGATAATCCTATAAAATTATTATTTATTACCATAGTGCAATTTTTATTAATATATAGGCTTTATAAATTATATAGATACATTGTAATTTGTAATAAAACATAAGTGTAAAAATTATTTAATATATAATTTCAATTAAAAATTAAATAAATAAAAGTTTAATGAGATAACCTTTTTTAATACTTTGAATTAGATTAGTTGGTTTAAAAATTATTTATTAAAAAATAAATTAATTAAAAAGAAATTTTATAAATTTATACCACCATAGTTTTTTTTAGGCTGTGTCCAGAATAAAAAATTAAATTTGACAACTTCGAAATTTTATAGAAAAACACAAAATAAGCCTTTTATGTTCCCTTAAAGTTTTTAAATAGGTTTTGGACACAACCTTAAATATAAATTTATTATATTTATTTTATAATGAATAAATAATTATTACATTTTCTATTAATGGCAATCTTATTATAACATATAAATGTCAAATATCAATAATATAAATGGTGTGCGATTATTTGGTAAAAACTATTTACAGTATTAAGACAAAAAAATAAGTGTTAAAAATTATTCCTCCTCCCATTCATCTTCATCTTCAAAATCTTCATTTTCACTTGAATCTATAATTAGAATAAATAGCAATATTAGTTTCCTATCTGTTAAATTATATGGGTATTAAAATGATTTATTATTAATTCTATGATCTAATTTTCTATAAATGGTCTCATTTTTAGTAAGCAAGATGGGTTAAATGATAAAACATGTCACATTTACTATAATGAGGTCTAAGCTACAATTCAAGACTTGTAAAATAATTTTAAAATCAGCTATAAAAATTTTAAAATGAACTTTAGCAATAAGTTAGTGAAAGCATGAATAGTTGGAATATTTTCAAATTAAAGTTTAAATCTGATTCTTCAGCTTAAAAATAACCAATATTATGTCAAGTGTCACAAAATTGTGACGACATTCATCAAGTCATAAACTAAAGTTTAAGCCTAAATTATCTTGCATAATGAAGAACCTTATGAGAGACAGAATCAAGATTTAATAAAATCATCATGCAAAATTATCTTTTAACCTGATGTTGATTGTATAACTTTGGCCCTCTGCTGAAGAGCCCTTGCTAGTGCACCTGCTACACCATCCAAAGGTTGATTATCTTGTGCTTTGTCCTCCTTTATACAGTGACCATTATTTTTATCATTGATTTTTGATAGCATATCACTTCTAGGCGGTAATTTGCGATTTTGGAGTGTGTGGGAGTGCACAGATGATGAATTAGTGGGGCGAGTTGTGGGTGGAGGAAGTGAATCGATCTAATATTGATATGTTAAAGAGAATTTATGTTTAATCTAGTCTAGTTTTAAAAGAGGGTAATTAAGTATATCTTTATTAACTTGAATCTTATTGGATTGCCCCAACATCTCTGAAGAAAACCTGCCTATAGTTTTGGGGGATTTTCTCGTTTAATAACGCGTTTTTAATGTATAAATAAATCTCTAACAGAATCTCATCTGATACGAATAATTACTGAGTAGTGAGATTTAGGTAGAAATTGAAATCAACCACATATTTCAGATCGGTTAACAATAATTCTACAATCCGAAATTCTCCCGATTTATACAGAATTATGGCATCACAGATAATGAACGTTAATTTGGTATCAAAAATATAGGCCAAAGAAAGGGTATTCACTGGATATTCAGTTGGTTACCCTAAAACTAACGATTTGGATGGAGAGATTAATTTATATATTAAGATAACGTTATTATGCGGGGAAATGGTATATCTAAATACGATTACAGACCATTGCCTGTAATCATGATGCATCAACACCCCACCCCCAGCAAATCTACAGCAAAAATGTAAGATCGTTGGCCAGATTTAGCATTGTGAATTCTAGAGCAGGTATAATTAAATCAGATTGATTTAAATCAAAGATTTTTTTGAATAATATTTTTATTTAAATCTCATTATTATTTGTTTTAGCTTTTTCAATTAAAACCATACAAATTTACACAGACTGACGATTTATCGAAGCGTCGTTGGATAAAAATCAGCTGGTGACACGCCATTTTAGTCTCTCATATAATAAAATGTTTAAAGAAATAGTTTTCATAAAATTTTAATTAAATTATTTATATGGAAAATCAAAATGACGAGCCACCAGTTGATTTGGATTGCTAAAATTTAAATGAATGAATCGTCAGTCTATCTCTATGCATTATTACGTGCCATTGGTATCCGCCGATACAACCAATACCCAAAATAAATATTCTATCTATTGGAAAAAAATAAAATTTATATATCATTTTTTGTTTATAACTTTCTTTTCTTTATTTATTTCATTTTTTCCTAATTCATCAATATCATCATTTTTTTGTTTAAAACATTCTTCTTTTCTTTATTAATTTCTTTCTTTCACAATTCATTGATATCATAATTTTTTTTAGCTTAATTTCTTCCTTTTTTTCTTTACTTATTTCTTTCATAATTCATCAGTATCATCATTCTTTGTGTTTATTTTATCATTTTTTATTTAATTATCATAAAATTAAACTCTAAAAATAATAAAGAAATATTAAATGCACATTCTTTCCCTCTCTTTTTATGGGTTAAAATTTTTTTATAAGAATTTTTTATATTATAAACTCATATAACGTTGACTAAAATTTTTTAAATAAATGAAAATTTTAATGATCATTTTTTGAGTATCAGCTAATGTTAAAAGGGCCCGATTTGCTAATTTTAAATTAAGATTTTAGTCCAAATAAAATTATGCAAGCCTCGATATTTCGTTAATAGACCTTTATCACCCATGGGCAAAATAAGGAGGCTTGAGCAATATTTTTTAGCTAAGGCTAAAATATTGGGTTAGTCATTTTTAAAAATCGAGCCGTTTAACAACCCCTGATATAAGCCATTAGTATCGGTTAAAATCGAAAGCATCAATCCTGTGGAGCGCTGAATGAAATTATTATTTTTTTGATATAATAAAATATCATTAAAATTAATTTAAAATTTAAGCAAATATTTTAAAAAAACCTCTATAAATTATTCATGCCCGTTATAATTAAATATTGATACGATATTTAGTTAATAAAATTAACTTACATTTAGTTTTATAAATATTAATTCTATCTTAGCAATCTAAGGGCAGACACCCTTGGCACCAGGAAATTAACAACCTAATCCACAAAATGCTATTATCAGCCAACAATCTTTCCACCTTAGATAAAGTTGGACTAAAAAGACCATAGTCTTCTCTCACGCCTTGGTCAAAGGACCCATCTTTAGAATAGGATTATACCTGTATAGATGCGTTTGCAAAATCGACGTACAATATGCATCCATTGCGGCAGCCAAATCATCGAAAAGCAACAAATATTCCCAATTAAAAACATATTTATTTACCCATCGCTATTACATTAAGAAATTTCGGAGAAGAAGCGATACTCTTAACTCTAGGTAATAGGCTAACATTCACTGAAGATTCAAAGAAAATTTATACAATAGGCAAAGAATATCTTTCGAGATATGCAGATCCAATAATCTCCATTCTCGTATGCCAAACAATATTTACAATATATCCTTTTAATCTCCACCTCCCTGTTTTCTTAATATTTTAATCCATATAATTTTTAACTTTTTTTAAAATGTATTTTTTCTTTTTTTAAAAAAAAATTCTTTCCTATCATATAAGCTTTAATATATATTATATACTAAACAGAATGTTAAATTTTTTTTATAAATAAAGAAATATTAAAGATTGACAAGATTGAATATTTTCCAATCAATTTAATTTTTCTTTAAAAACTTTGTCTCAATCGCTATTTTCATCCATGGCATATTTTATAAAATTTGATTTTTAAATCAAAAAAATTGTTACTTAATTTTCACCAGCCGGCCGACGTGTTCAACCCCAAATTTTTAATTGACAAAAATATATATTAAACGATTTTTACAAAGTCAATTAAGTCTTTTTTATAAATTTTAATCGAATAAAAATTACTCTGTTATATTTTTAAGCCTGGACTGATTTTTTTAATGTTAAGTTCGAACACTTAATCAACCAAAAGAAAAGTTTTTATCACAACCAATTGGTAAAGATAGAGATCAGTAATTTAAAGTGAAAAAAAACTACTCAGAAATAATGATATTATCTAATTTAATTAGACTGCAAATTTTTTTTTTAAAATTTGTTCTTACTTCTTAGTTAACATTGATCAAGTACCAATAAATGACCGATGTCCCAATCAAATGAAATATGAATATGTTTGTGAGTAGTAATGAAAAATCGCTCCACTTGAGCCGATTTCTAAAAACGGATAACTCAGTATATTATCCAAAAAATATTACGCACACTTGGAGATTTTGCTCATAAATGGCACAAAGGTTTGGGCATCTATTAGGGAAATCTCGAGACTAATGAAAGAAATTTTACGGCTATAAATATTGAGTTAGCCGTTTTTAAAAATCGACTCAAGTGGAGCGATTTTGCATAACCATTTGTGAGTTAAATATAAAATAATATTGAACTTATCCTCCTCTAACAAAAAAAATCCAAGGATAATAATAATCAAATTACATTCTTATTTTTTAAAAAAAAAATATTACATGTTTTAATCGAATTCCTCCCTTAATCTGGTCCATGAGTAAAGAACGATCCTCCACAACTTTTGGGCCATTCTTTGAGATTTTGTTATCACAACGATTTTTATCTTCATTCGATGTAATATTTTTGCTATTTGTATCCAAATTCGGGGGACTTTTGCTTTTAACTATATCATTTTTTGCAGGCGTGGGGAGAGGGGGTGGGGGCGGTGGTAGTCCTTGTGTTTTAGCATTATTGGTGTTAATAATGCTGCTACTGATTATTTGTGAATTCGGAATAACATTGGGAAGCTTATTAGCCGTATTGCTAGTATTAGGCATTGAAAACTTGGGATGAACTGGTTGAACAATGTTATTATTAGATGGATTATAAGCATTATGCAAGTTGAACGCCGCTGTCCGTTCATCGTTTCTATATAGGCTATTGTTGCAAACGTTTTGGTCAAAAGATCTAAAAAAATCGGAATCACCTTTGTTGCCAAGCGATGATGATAAACCTGTGGGTGTCGAAGTAGGAAGGTTAGATAGTGGAGGGGGTGGAGGAGGGGGTGGGCCTTTGCCTAAGGTCCCAATCTGAGAGTTGTGATTCGGATATATATTCCTGGATGGTATTGGAGGTGGGGGTAACGCAGAGTTGTAACGAGAAGATGTATTACCACCCATATTTACATTGCTGTTGAAAGGAGGGTTGAAATGGTTGTTAGAGAAGTTATTTGGGAGATTCTGGTTGTTGAACCCATTACAGGGTTGGATAAAGGGTTGAGCAGGAACACGATTTTGGGGTATATGAGGCAATTGTGGAGGACGATTTGAGATCGTGGAATGATTATCAAAGGCTTTATAAGGGGGGAGATTTGAAAGGCGGAAAATGTAAATATAATGTTTGTAAAAAATAATAAATACAAATAATGGGCGGAGGATAAAATTTACTTTAAGATGTTATATTATTACCAAGCAGATATAATCATACAAGCCTCATAATTGAATAATAATATGTTTAAAGGAAGAAAAATAATTGAAGGAGATTAGATAAAAACTAAAGAGTATACAGTTTGGTGAATTGTAATTGTTGTTTGAGAGTATGGCCTCCACACCGCCTTGTCTATCGATAAAATCGTAAATAAATTCGGCCGTTTCCTTGTCCTGTAAATCTTTTTCCGTTACGCCAGCTTTGTAAAACAAATCCTTGAGTACCGGATCTAGTTTTTCGGTCTTTTGTCAAAATTAATAAATAATAATATAACTAATTTTTTACGAATCCCTTAAGGCCGTATTCAAAATGGGGTCCAAAATGATCTAACTGCTGATAGATTTTAAAAATTTATTGATCAATTTTTCTTTATTAATATTAATTTTATCAATAATTCTATTTATGATAATAACCTAAAAATATTGATTTTAATATATAAAAAATTGATCTCATTAACAGATTATTAAAATCGATCAGCTGTTAAATTGCGTAGGATCAGATCCCACTATGAATGTGGCCTAAATCGTGCAAAACACGTATTAATGGAAAAAGTGTATAAGGATATTATTATATGCGAGATCTATCACTATATCTCGACCATTTTCAGGTCTCCACCTTCTCCTTCCAAAATCCAATTTAAAATGCTCAGTATATTAAATACCCTTTTTATATTGACCTAAAAGTGAAGCTCTTGAGTGGTCCCCTTACTTATGAGGTTCTGATTCATATAAGATTTTGTATTATGTTTAAGTTTGAATAAGAATGTAAACATTTAAATAAAGTAAGAAGACTCCAATGGTGATTTTAAAAAAAAATTAATATCAGCTTTAATATAAAATTCTTAAAAAAATAAAATTTACTTCTAAGCCTTTGTTAGGATCCCAGCCAACATGCTGTATGTGCCTATAAATTGTATAGAATGTTTTTAAAATAAAATTAAATATTAGAGAATATCTAAAATAAAAATTCTTATTTTGATTATATTTATTTTATATCTTCCAATGAATCACATTTATTGGTTTAATTTAAAATAAATTGCAACTTCAGTAAGATGAAAAAATAAATATTTTTCAAGGTAGGCCTGGCCCAGGTTGTAAAATAACATGATTTTAAAAATTGGAACCAAGCTTAATAATATAAATATAAAAAAAATTTTTAATTTATTTTAGGAAATAAATTTTAATTATCGAACCAGTCTGAAAAATCATATAATTAGTTATAACATCATTTTTTGCTCCCATTTTTAATTTCCATTTGAAATAATTTTTACGAAATTTTAAAAATCGAGGTCAGACCGTATAATAAAAAAATCCGGGCTAGACCTAAAAAGCGAAACGGATCGGTTTTGAAGATAAGGAAATTTAATCCGTTTTATGATGCCCTTTAAAAAAACTAACTGAAAATTCGTAGGTTGGCCAATGTCGGTTTTTCGCAGTCTCATACTCTTCTTGACCTCTTTCTTTCTCAATTTAGGAATTTTCCCTTGGGCGACGCACGAACTTGAACGGTTTATGGCAGAGGAATTTATCAAGGGAATAATGTCTAAGTTTTTTTTCAAATAAATGATTATTTGATTTATAATTAATTTACAATAAATATATAAAATAAAAGAGAATTTATAATATTTTTAAAAAAATAATAAAATAAATAGTTTTCTTTATTGACTAGTAAAAAAAATTTATTAAAAATGATTTCATTTTGAAAGATTTTTTATAAAATTTGTTTTGAAGATTTTTTTATATTACAATTCATTTGAGATTTAAAGTTTTGTACCAAAGCTGATTCCTCATAAGTTTGGACATTTATATCTTAATATATTAATTGATTATGAAAAGTAAATCTTCTTTCTTTCCTTCCTTCTTTTTTCTTTTCTTTCAATTAGATTTAAAGGTGACCCTGCAATATAATAAAAGGAAATCAATTTTTATACAAAGAAAATAAGATATCTTAATAGTAGTTAAGATTTAAAAAAATATTTTTCCAAATGTTATAAATTTAAATTTATTTTGAAAGATTAGTGAATAAATTATCGTTATTGTTTGAAAAATAAACGTTTTGTTTAATATATTTAATGCCCAGCGCAGAAATAAAAAAATTATTATCAAAAAGTATTTAATTTAATATCAAAAATTATTTAATTTTTTATCCAAAATTGTCATTATTCGAAAATTAATAGTTGGTTTAATTTTTTTTTCTTGCCTTCCATTCAAAAAAATATGCATAATTGGGTATAAAAATAATAATTCTCTACAGCTTTTCTTGTTATATATAAAAAACAATATAGTTATCAAGGAAACAATGATGAATGCATTTATTTTAAAGTTTTATAAAAGAAGATAGGGTTAAGAAGAAAAGATGAAGGTTAAAATTAAATAAAGATACTAGGGTTAAGATTTAAAAAAAGTTCGAGCGATATAAGTTAGGGTCAGAAAGATATTGGCTAGGGTTTATTTATATTTTAAAAAATAAGTTTAATAAAAATTTTAATGAAAGTCTGATTTGGAAACGTTGAATTTTGATAATGAATTAAACATAATTCTCCAGATCCAGAGTTTAAAATATCATTTTTCTGATTTTAATAACACTAAATTTTGATAAGGATTTCTGTTTTTTTTCTTCTCCCATAATTTGGAGAAATATCGAAGCACAAATTAATATTTTATTTGGTTAAAATCTTGATAAATCAGTGAGATTTTCTACGATACAAACAGATGGTAATACTAATATCATTATATTTGAATAAATAATTAAAATACTATCCCTAAAAGATTGGTCTAAAAAAATTATGAAATGAATGGTACAGAAAAGTATATAAACTTATTCAAAATATTACTAAAAATAAATATACAATGCATTTCCACGTTATCATGTGACCGTTATTCAATTTTTATAAGCAGGGCAAAAACTAAAGCCACTTTTAATAAATTTAGGAACCAGATTATTAAAAAAATCAAGAATCGGTACTGCCTTTTCAAGGTTTCAAACTAATTGAGCCTTTTTGGACCGTTAAACTGCGCGCTCAATGTCACGTGATCAAATAAAACCAAATCAAGATATCATATGGCCCTTATTAAAAGGTTAATATAAATTAATTAACCCTAATAAAAAAATAAACAACCAATCATATTTTGGGCTTAAAAGATTAAACGGAAATTGGTAAAATGGAAATACTTCTTTATTATAGAAAATTGTAATTTAATCGAACAAGAGAAAGGGGACATATACATGATAGTTATAAAAATTGGTAACTGAGTAAATAATATGACCAAATATTTTTTTATAAAAATTGGTAACTGAGTAAATAATATGACCAAATATTTTTTTATAAAAATTGACATACAAATTCAATTTGAACATTAAACAAATTTTTTTAAATAACTAGGTGGGTCTCCCCCATAAATTTTATTGGAGATCTTTAAGTCTACTTTTTAATACCTTTTTAAAAACTTTGAATTTAAAATGATTGTTTAATACACTTTTTGAGAAGATAAGAGAGAGAGGGGGAGGGGAGTGTAGGAAATTTTTTTTATAGCTTAAAATGATATATATGGAAAAAGGCAAATTTCCATAGAGGACGAGTCCCACGCCCCAAATCCCCTTCACCTAAGCCCTTATTTAGTTTGAGTAAAATAGACAATTTAATGTTTAAAACTAATATTACTCATATTATACCCACTCGTCTAAAATTAATTAATTGTGCTTCAACTTTTAGGATTTTATTTTATTTTTGAAATTTCTATTAAAAATATTTCCGTTCTGAATAAGGAATAAATATCTTTTTATGTGGCATACATAATTCAAAAAAAAAGCTTTAATAAAACTAACTTCTCCTGCAAATTATATATTTGTCTAATGGCAACTCTTATTAATTTAGAAATTTCTCTTTTTAATTAAAAGTTTGTTTTTTGTCAAATTCTCAATGGTCTGATTTGTAATATTTTCTTTATTTAAATGGTAAGGACTAAAAATTAATTTATAATATAATATTTATAATAATTTACAATATGTGCTAAAAAAAATATGTACATCATAGATATATAAAATTTGATAAATAAAAAATGGATAATTATTTTTATATGTATTATAAAAAAAATAAGATTTGCACAAAGTTATGAATATTAAAATTTGAATTATATTAAATTTATTTTAAAAAAAGAATCATACTATTATTGGCTAAGTCATGCCTGGGTGTAATGATATGGTTAATGGATCCACTTCTTTCAACTAAATTTTATTGAAATATACAATTATATTATTATACACCAGACCAATTATGTTGATCAGATTAGATAAACAAATTATAATTATCATAATTTAATACAAGGTCAGTGAGACCCAAACCAGCTTGGCCAGCCCAAGATATTTACGTAAAAATTGTCCTACTAAGTCGGAATATTTTTTTATGAAGGTAGACATAAATTTGTCTAATTATAAGCTTCAAAAAAAATTACATAATCCTGCACCCACCAATAAAAATATTTTGCACAAATTATCTCTGGCTCAGCCTGAAAAAATAAGTTACCCAGCCCAAAGATATTCTGGCCCAACAATGCAAGCCTAGCTATTATATGTCAACTAGTCATTTGCAAAATCAATTGTTTGGCCAAGCCCATCTGAAGGCCAATTAGAATTTTTTTTAGATCTATACCTGTCCCATCACACAAATTAAAAAAAGTTTATAGGGAAGAAATCTCAAACTCTAAATATTTATTTTATTAATTTATTTCAATGTTATGTTAAATATTCAGCAATATCTTGGATAATTTAATGAAATATATCAAATTAGTTCAATTTATTAGGGCTGGACCTATATTTATGATGTATCATAGCTCTTGATTTGGGCCCCTGAAGAACTCAAATTCCAACTTCTTATTTTAATATTCAAATTAAAAATTTTCTAAAGATTACCTACAAAATAAAACCTCTTGTGCATGTTCTAAAAACATAATTATAAGATAATTTTAGAAAGGTTTTATTGTATGTATAACTTAAAATCTTCCTAAATTTATGAATGAAATGAATTGTTAGTTAATTTAGATACAAAAAATTTATTAAAAAATTTTTACCTTAAGGCCATATAATATTTTTTTAATAATTTTAAAAAATATTAGGATATAACTTTGTGAATTTGAAATTTGTTTCATTTGTCTTTGTCTTAGCTTATTATCAATAGCTTGCTGAAATCTTTGAGCTTCCCTTTGATCTGCAAAGTTAAGTGCAGCTGGGCACAGCTATTATAAAAAGATTCATAAATGTAATTTTTTTTCAAAGAAAAAAGTTACTGAAATATTATTTAAAAAAATACAAGATATATTTATAAAATTAATTAATTTACATCTGTATCAAAAGTGTGAAAAAATGGTAGAGGTGTATAATATTTGAATTGAATATAAAGTTCTTGTTCCCAAACAGCCATTTGATTCTATTAATATGTAATACATTTTATGAATAGTATTTTTTTAAATATGCATATAAGATAGATATACAATAGTAAGAAATTTATGAATATTGCTAATATAAAAAAAAACTTTTAGATCATAAATTCGAATAAAGTAAGATCTTCTGCTATTGTCTTTTACAAAACATGCAATTCCACAACATTTTTTAATCCATCCATTATATAAAGGTGGCTCAGCTAGAAAAACTTGCACAACAGCAGTTGCTTGTGTCTAATTGTAACTATAATATAACTAATAACAGATTGATATATACTGAACATCTTCTTCCCATTATCTTAAATAATTTCAAGTTTTCTTCTTCTGTTAATAATATCGAGGGAACATTAATAGGAGAGTGTGATTTTTTAGGCGATGGCATTTTACTAATTGGTCTCTTTAATTTGAGATTGTTTCGAGTATAAATTTATAAGGCCGAACTTGGCATGTGAACATGTGACATGTGATTACTTAAAAAGACCGAAATAAAAAGTATTATTCATATTGGTATTTATAAGATCTAAAACATCTTATTATTTTTTAATTAATCTTTAAAATATTTTTTAAATTAAAGACCTTTACATCCCAAAAAACCATAATCCCTTATATATTATATTTTATTTTATTATCGAGGGAGGACGTAACCAAGATTTGTTTATAAGGGGGTATAAATTTTTTGAAACCTTCAATTCTTTGACTGACTTTCTAGCAGGTCCTGCTAATATTGAATTATATAAAGAAATTATTGTTCATTAAAATATTTGGGGACGTTCATCTTGTCTCTTCGCTCGTCCTATTCGTTTTTTGGCAGAGCATTGTGTACCCTGATAACCTCCGGGATTAAATATGAAAGTGTTTCATACAGAAGACTTTTAGCATCTTCTATTATATTCCACGCTGATAAAGTACCGAATTTTTTAGTATTATTTCAAAATTTTCCAAATATTTTATAGCTGTACGTAGAGTCTTAAATTTACATAAATTATCAAGTTTTTGTCTCAAATGATTTATTATCTATTTTAAATTGAAGTGCATTTATCGTTATTGGGAGCAAGCTCTCTTTACCATATATCCATCTAAGGGTTTTTTCACGTGCCCATCACCTTATCTCACCTATTTTTTGCAGCCTTCTCAACTTATTTTGGCCAGAATTATTCTGTTTCACCCTATCCATCCTTTTATCTGATTCACCGACCTGGATTTTATTTGATTTCAATTAATTAAGAACAAAAAATGGTGGCTAATTTATTTCTACAATAAATCAATATATAAAAATAATATAATAAATTAATCAAAACTTAGCTTTCACTCTACTCAAACGAAAGCGTTTTCACTTCATTTGAAATAAAGTACAAAGAAAAGAACATGCTATTGATGTATAGCGTCAAGCGATGTTATTGATATTTTATGCATTAAAATATAGTCAACGAAATGACAATTCCCAAGGAATGTGATATTCAAATCATAGAGATATCATTAAAAATAAATAAAGATAAGAGAAAATAATGTGAACATAATATATTTTTTTCTAATCGGCCTCTCTTTTGATATTTTCCTCTGATCGGCCTCAAAAATAGACATTTTCTCGTGGCCTCATGGCCAAATTGCCCACCTGATCTTATGGCCAGTCCGCCCCTTCCATATTTTTTTTTAAATAATAAAAATTATCTCTAAATGTAAAAGAATTATTTTTCAGAACATATAATAAATTAAAAACCCTCTCATTTATAACAAATGTATTATTATAGTATATTGTCGGGCATAAATATGGCTAATAGAATGTTAACCCTTTTAAATTACATTTAAGAAGATAGCAGGAAATTATCCAAAAGTATGTTTTAATTGAAAAATATTACTATATATGATATTAGTCGACATTTAGCAATCTATTTTTATTAGAATAGGTCTATAGTTAAATTATATATTATTATAGCAATATATTATTGATAAATCATTGAAAATTGCAATAGATAGCACTCTAAATAATTATACCCTACCCCCAATTTATGACTACCCCCAACACCCTGTTAAAATATATGGATAAAAATTCGGGTCGGGTCTTTGGAGATATTTTTAAATATATCTAAATTCATCAATTATGTTGAATTTTTTATGTGAAATAAAAATATTTGATTTTATTTATAGAAACTAGACAACATATAACATATATCTTATATCTTGAGTAATTATAAAAATTAATTTCTATATTTGAATAAATTCGGGCAGGATCGGCCGTAAATTTTTCTTAAAAAAATTTGGGTTCAGGCAGAGCGAGCAAAACTTTGTTAAAAAAATTTGGGGCTAAGACCGCGGCAAAACTTTTTTAAAAAAATTCGAGCCGGGCTGGGCTTAAAAAATTAGGCTCGATGCAGATCACTAATTCCAATTGTTGCCGTCATTGGGTCCTCTATAGTCGTGGAGTTAAATAGTGTGATTAGAAAACAATTTATTTAAAATTTTGTTAAAATAAATAAACATATATTTTGTTTGGAAAACAAATAACTAACACCAAGATACTCATTGAATATTAAATATAAACCAATATATTGTCATAATCTTCGTAGAAATAGATAATTGGGCGTTGTATCAGTTTGCACGAGCTAGAGAGTTTTTTAGAGTTATTTGATAAAAAATTTTATACCAATTTTTAGTGATAAAAATTTTTAGAAATTACCTAAAAAAGAAGTAATTTAAAAAATATATCCTAAAAAAGAAAGTAATTAAAAGAATATCTATATATTTATAAGCTGCCTACTCACCTGGATTGTAAAGGCCAGTGAAGCCACTGATTCTAATATTACCGCCATGTGCTCATTTCGCGCAGTATAGAGAGCTTCACGGTACAGTGTAAATCAGAACTTGAAATGGGAGAGCCTAGGGAAAGGTAGATACCTGAATTACATGGTACCCATCTATGGAGTGTCAGAATCAATGGCTTTTAGGGATATATCGCACTATTTTATAATATCAAGTGTAATCAAAGTGGCGTTCAATCTCATTTCAAATTTTATTAATATTACTATTATTAGTCTGGTGATATGATATTTCTGGTGCTGAAATAGAGGACTGGAGGGAGGGGGGCTCATAAGAATAAAGTTACCATAATTCTTAATCTTTGGGCGAAAGCGAAAAAATTAAATTAAATTTATTTTCTCGTTTCTTACTTAGGGGTCTTTGAAAAAATTTTTAAATAGGGTAGGAGCATCTTCGTCGCCACGGCTAAATTATATATAGAGCATATTGTTTCGGCAACCCATGATGAGAATCTTTCCATTTCAAATTATCTATTGAATTAATGCAACATAACTACTTATACACATTTTGATTATAATAAGTGCTTATTTAAATAGTTCAGATATTTAGTAATGTAAAATATACCTGCTTAACAGGCTATCCTCTCTTATAGTAACTAATATTAAATAATGTTTATTTTAATTAATAATTAAATTACCTTTTATATTTTAATTATAAAATTATTATTACCAATTATAACTGGTTTCTCCTTTTCTTTCTAAGTTAATTTTCAACCATGTGTAAACTTTTAAACTAAAAATAAAATAGCCGATGAGGGAAAAGGAAAATTATAATGATTGACATCTAAGTGTTCTCATGTGAACCTGCCGTTACTTATTACTTTTTACAGAAGATAATAATAAAAAAAAATCATTTTTTTGTATCTCTTTTTATAAAGGAGCGTTTACGCGTATTTTATATAAAATTATGCGTCAGTTTAGTTGTGAGAAATCTAAACAAAATAATGTTTAAATTTTTTGCTGGAATTTAGGCTAACAATAATATTGTAAGTGTCTAATATAGAAATTAAATATTTTTATCATATATTTTTAATATTTTTGACATGCAGAAAAGTATTCTGACGTCTACCCTTATTCTATTTTACCCCGGTCTTCCTAAATCTCATTTTTCGATTACATAATATCATATTGGATAATATGAAATCATAATTATATTATATAATACAATGTATTATTAATTATATATAAAACAATCGCAAATAATATTTGAATAATAAAACTAAACCTATTTTCATAACTTATTAATTTATAATATAATATTACTTAATGAACGTATACATCACTGGCGCCATCTTAAGTAACTATTCATTTAATTAAAAGCTAATTTAAATATTTATTTTTTTTCAGTGGAAATGTCTTAATTATTGAATAATAATAAAATTGCAAAAAAAGAAAATTATGATAAAATGTTTACACAAACTCTTATAATTAGAAACATTAATTATAAAATAGTGATATATATAAAATATTTTGATAAAATAAAATTCAAGTAAAATTTGATTGGAACGGAAATCCCTTCATTGATAATATATATATAAAAATTTTATTACTTTACCTTTTACATTATCGTTATATTATATTATAATTTTAACTTACTATATCAACTATTGTGCTACTTAAACATTATTTTTTTCCTAAATAATATATTTTAACAAAACATATTATATATATTCATTAAAAAGCTTAATACTATTTTGAAATAATTAAAATCTTTCAAAAAGTTGTAATCGCAGCCAGGGTTGGTATGATGCCCTATAGGTGTGAGAAGTGTCGGAGGTCCGAAAAATATAAAACTATTTCCATTTTTTCATAGGGAAGGATAGGATATACTATTCTATAGATTTTATTTTTTCTATTACCGTGGAGGGAGGAACTTATATCTGGGGCAGATATGACCCATATGTTTTAATGGATAATTTTTTTTTTTTTAAAAACTCAATTTTATATTTACTTTAATAAAACAATATTTATTATGTATACATTTTATTTAAAAATTAAATCAATTAATATTATATAAATAATTATATAACATATATTCAAATATAAATATACTTTTTAAATGTAAATATCCGAAATTAAAAAAGAAAAAGGAAATGAGAAGAAAATAAGAAGTAAAAGTCTAGGGAAAAAAAACTCTTTGGAAAGAAGACTGCCATTAAAGTTTATGTAGTTCGCGTTAAAGATAACTATGGCAGCCTTTATCGGATGCGAAGTTCTTTAGTGAATTTTTTTGTAAAATGCTAGGGCGTGTTTACTAAAAATGGTAAGTGTAGTCGATATTATAGATATAAAATACATTATTCAAAATTTTGGAATATTTCCTTAACTCATGTTTGTTTAAGTCCAATATGTTAAGGGCTTTGTTAGAGGGAGCCGGGGGATCAATACAAGAATAGCCCCATAATTATTGACCCCTCCCCCTCATTGATGGATAGTCCAGAGCGTTTACCGTTTGATCTAAAAAGACCAGAAAGTTCCAGTTTCGAAGGTATTTGAGCTGGTTTCTGAGCTAGTTGAATGATTGAGTTACATAGAGTATGCATGATGGATCGTCTATTGCAGGAACATAAACCATATCTCCCCTTTAAGTCTAAGGGCTAATTATAACCTGAGCGAGTGTG